CGTAATCGCTACGCTTAAACGGGCTAAGAAAATTAATTACCGGGAATAAATTTTCCGCAGCGGGTATGACCTCCTTTCACCCTGGCCGAGTAACAATTCGCGTTAAAAATTAAGAAAGAAACTAAGTAACCGTTCAACGAACCGACGTAATTCCCACAACGAACCCTCGCCGTCCGCTAATTATGACTATAACCACCGTTCTTTTCTAATCGGCGCTCCACAGCTGTTCTACGCGCGTCTACAAATCGTGAGAAAACAAGTGGATATGCTCCCTTTCGATCGTAGCTCCCTTTTAAAGCTCCGGTTTGTTGTTTTTTTTTATAATAGCATTTAAATTCGACGAGCACTCTCTCTATACACGTTTCAGCTATGTTGTCACTATATACATCGTGTGTTCCATCGGTGGTAAAATCGAAAGCAACACGATCCTCTTTGAGAAAATCAAGCAATTAATTGTTTAAAATTATACGAATTTACGATTGCCAAATTCATGTGTAATGTATCGAGTATTACTTGAGATGTAAATCGATATGGAGAATTGGTTAACCCTTTGAAGCATGGTGGTGACCCGTTACCACCTCAACTTCTTTACTTTTTGGCCATTTAATTTTTAGTTAACGCATTTAGGTCGCGTTGTTTGCATGGTTTGGGTATCTTAGCAATAAAAGAACATAAAAAAATTGAGTAGTCTTTAATACTTATTGTAAAAGTTTCATAAATAAACAAATATGAAAAAACAGCAATTTTTTCGGAAAAATTCATTATCGACCAAGTTTTTTAAGATTTCATTTCTTGAAAACTTTGTACAAAGGGCTATTCGGGGTAGCTCATTACGAATCTGATGTCAGATTTTTAAAATTCAAAATGGCTGACCCAAAATGGCGGATGCGAAGTACGTGAATTTTTCAAGTTTCCAAGTTTTCCAGCATTTTCGTTTGACTACGATATTTGGGGACTCATCACGTTTGCGTCGTTAACTCCGGGCAGTGCTAAGAATGAGTAAATTCTAAGAAATGACCAAATTTCAATTTTGCATTCGCCATTTCGCGCGTACTATTTTTTATACTCTATAATAATTTTTAACTGGAATTTAGATTCCATGGGTCCTAAGAATATCTGATTAATATTTCTCAGCATAGTTGAATTACAGTTGAATAATGTTATTCTTTTAAGTTTCGAATTCCGTCATCCTGAATCCGCCATTTTGAATTATGAAAATCTGATAACGGATTCGTAATCAGCGACCCCAAAAACCCTTGTGTACAAAGTTTCACAAAAAATGGTTCAATAGAAAAATGTATACTTCAAAGGGTTAAACAAGAAGTTACGAAGGTAAAAGAACTCTTGTAAAAGCATTGGCGACGATTGTTATAATTCTTTCCTTGTTCTTAGGTCTTGTGTTGGAGAAAGTAATTAAATTTGTCGGAACAAAGAAACAAACGTGAATAATTTCTGTATACACATATAAAGAAATAAAATTGTAAAATAAACTGACAAACTCTTCGACATTTGTTATAGAGAGCATAGTCGTTCTATTTTCTTCTTTTTTAATTAAGTGCCGGGAATTGCTCTAGAATTTACCCCTACTTCCAATGAGGACGTTCTGTTTATGTGTACGTATAATATATAAATGTATATTATGCATATATATCCGGAAGTTTAAGTGTACCGTCTAATAGCTATACCCGCAGGCCTACATTAAATAAAATAGCTCGTCGCGCGGGGCGGCGGCATTTTCATTTTTACAAATCAGAATGGAAATTGCACATGTTTTAGTTTTTACACTTGTAACACATGAATATCAATCGTTGTATCGAATCGTTGTACTAGCACAATAATAGTAATAATAATAATAATAAATACTAATACTAGTAATAAATAATAATAAATAATAATAAATACGATAGTAATAGTAATATTACAATGATAATAATATATGACGAGGTTGTCAAGAAATTAATATGTGATACATGAGAAAGATGAGAAGGAAACGCAAAGGCCTGAAGATAAAAATCTGCGAATTATAAAAACAGTTAAAAATTGCCAACTCATGTACACTGTAAAATGTATTGGGTTGCGTGCGTTTTAATATCCTGACAATCCGTCAATACAGGAACAAATAATTACTACGACTGCGAAATCAAGGAAGTAACAATATTTCCAATGTACAAAGAAATGAGCGTAGACCGAAGAATACGAACAAACGATACAGCAAACGACGACGAACGCAGGACGTACAAACGAAACAGTGAAATAAATTACGAGACTCACGTAAGTCGAGCGAGCGGTGCGCAGTTATTGCGGATTTTCGTTGTATGCTACGCGAATAAATTAGTATTGCTTAATTGTTTATTGCTCTATAGCCGTATATTTATATGCCTATATGTATATGCGTTAATAGCAGCATGGCGTATTTATTAGTGACTAGCGCCGCGCGAGATGGAATTAAGAAAAAAAAGAATCAAACGAAACTCCACTGCGCGTCAAGCATTGTCGGCCAATCCTACGACTCGATCCCGTCCGGAACGAACTACGTGAAAAATATCGTTTCGTTTTGTTCTCCCTGCAACTCTTGGCGGCGAGATTCTTTCTACTGTACATGCGAATCACGTTAGCGCTCCTCGATAATATGATCGTTGCGAAAGAAAAAAAACGACCGGGCGGACCGCCCGCGTGCTCGTCAATTGTTATTAGTTCAATTGTTATTTTTTTTTCGTCCGCTGGGCAACGTGAAGCGTGTGGTCCACACCCCTCCGATCGCGCTCATTGCGACTCCGTTCTCTCTCGTTGGATGAAAAATGTCTAAAATTACTTGAAATTCGCGATTAAATGCGCAGCGGCGCGGTATCGATTTTGCCTCATTTTACAATATGCAGAAAAATCAATTAATTGTTATGGAGAAATTGGTAATTATCTTTTATACGGTTCTATAACCACAGTACGCATGACATAACAACAATACGCCGATTGAATTATGAATGGACATAGGAAATTTATTCCGCTAACACAATTCAATATGTTTAGCAGCGTCTGATGTATATTAATCATACGAATGTGATTAGTGATGTTTTTTTTTCGTAAACATGATTAAATGGTCAATGCGGCACGATCTATGCAATTAGTAGAATGCGCTGTGTAAAATTTATTAGCTTTGATTATTAATAGGAGCAACTCGTTATTATCATTATTGCTGCAAATAATATAGAGAGCAGAAAATACGATGTAATAGAATATAATTTTAAAAAGTGGTAAACAATTTAAAATATTGAAAAAGCAAACCATTTAAAACGAAATTAAACGACCGATTTGACAGCCAAGACGACTCGCGGGACTTTTAACACAAGAAAAAATAGACCAGGGGGTGTGGATTGGGCGATCGTTCTCCATCTTAAGCATCCTCGGTTCTTGCTCGAGACTTGGTTAAACTTCGATGTGTTCGCCTCTATACGTATAATTATATAATTCGTTGTGTCGAAACATTGCTTTGACCGTACTTGTCGTTATATTTTGTTTTCTTATATTGCTTCTATAAAATATGTGTATAACAATGTTACGCATTCTATTACTCGAATTTTGCTCTAATTGTAAGTACGTGGTATTTACGTGTTTTGAGTCTCCGTTTGTGCGATATCGTACGCGTGCTTGCGCGCCCGCGATCGCACAACCGGTCGATTCGCGCGAACGACTACCTCGCGACGCCTACAATCAGCGCGTCACTTATCGGCGCCGATTTGATTACCCATCGCGATACAGTCGCTCGTTTCGTGACCGAAAACACGCGCGTGTTACTGGTTTTTACACGCGGCGCGTAAATCGCATAATCGTGCGAAGTTACGCAGGTGTGCGTCGACGATTTGGCTCGATACGAAAAATGAGGAAGGATAGAGATTGAAGCGCGTGTCCATCAGAACTTGTAAGAACACTCGTTCGTTTATCGGAAATAAACTCGGTATGGCACACCTCGATGTGTAGTCGTTGGTTACCGCGCTATCGATTAGCTATAGCTCTCATCGTTCTCTCTCTCAATGGCTCAAATGAAATATTAAAAAGAGTATCCGCTGCGCGAAGGACTGTTAACCCCTTTCTATTCTTGGTAGCGCTAAGTACGAGCGTCTTCAAACAACCGCGTTAACGTTGTATCAATCATAGCGAAATTATGTGGCTAATACTCGGAAATACTTGGCTCGTTCCAAGTAATGGTTGTTTGAAATCGTATCAGTATTTGAAATATTGATGAACTGCAATGGATAATCCTTGATCGATTCCGTACCTTTTCCTCTATTTTTCTAAAAATATACGTTTAATTAATCGGTTATTCCAGGGATCGGTTCTCCGTTTGCATCATCTTCGAAATAAAATATTAGCCTTAGGTTCTGACAATCGATCGCAAATCGCGGGGTTCGTCGATCACACCTGCGCGTTTCAGCGTTACACAGTGATCGGCCTCGATCGTCGATCGCGAAGCGCAAAATGAAGAGGGATCGAGGCCGCGCCGTGATCGAGATTCGACGAGCGCGCCGGCTCGCGAACCGCGATTATGGATCCATCGTCGATCTCTCCGGCGAATTCTGGATCTCTCGTTTCACTCCCCGTTTTTTTAAATTTAGGCAGCTAAGTATTAATAAATAATGTCTTCGTAACGAGCTTCGCGGACTAGAGTCGTACGCGCTAGTAAATATATATATACTATATATATAATAATATAATATAATAATATAATATCATATAATGTAATAGGTATATAATCGACTAGAGTGACTAGACTCTGCAGTGTGGACGTCATCGTTCGACGTGTTCTTGTTTCTTTACGACTTAATATTACTGGACGTTTTTATTAATGTTAGACATTATTAATAAACTCATGCTCTCCCTCTCTCTTGCTCCCTTTCTTTCCTTCTCTCTCTCTCTCTCTCTCTCTCTCTCTCTCTCTCTCTCTCTCTCTCTCTCTCTCTCTCTCTCTCTCTCTCTCTCTCTTTCTCTCCTTTTCATTCTCTCTTTCTCTCTTTCACTCGTTCTCTCTCTCTCTCCCCCCTCCCTCCCTAGCTCTTTTTTCTGTCTCTACTGGCACTTTTCTACTTAAAATCTACGGCAAACCTTATATCCTCTCCTCCGCTCTTCGTACCTTCGCACCTCTTTGCGATCAAGCGGCGATCATGGGGCACCGCTAGCTTTCTCTCGGGTCCTCGATCCTCGTGACGTCGTTGTTCTCGTTCTCGAAGCGCTGCTACAAGCCTCGATTGGTGTTCTGTTGCTGCGTGGCGTTGTTACCGGCATGCTGCGGCTGCTGCTGCTGTTGCTGTTGCTGCTGCTGCATCTCCTCGTCGCGCAGGCACGCCGACTCCAAGTGTTTGTTCAGATAGGACTTGAGGGCGAAGGTCTTGTGGCACCTCGAGCACTCGTAATTCTTGTCGGCCGAGTGCGTCTGCATGTGCGCCCGCAGATTTGAGCGATCGGCAAACGCCTTGCCGCAGTGGGCGCACCCGTACGGCTTCTCGCCGGTGTGGCTGCGCAGGTGGCCCTGCAGCAGCCAGGGCCGCGAGAACATCTTACCGCAGACGCCGCAGCTGTGGGCGAGCTTGTGCGTGAGCACGTGCATCGCCAGGGCGGGCATGCTGACGTACGCTTTGCCGCAGTGGATGCACTTCTTGGCCGATTGGGAGTCGAGGCTGCGGTGGGTCTGCTTGTGCCGCGACAGGTTCGACGACGTGGCGTATTGCTTACCGCACTCGGTGCACGTGAACTTGGGCCTGTCCGGCTGGGCCGCCTCCTTGTCGGGCACCGAAGCGGCACCGTTGCCACCCCCGCCGCCGCCGCCACCCCCGTCGCCGCTGACGCCGCCGCCGCCGCCGCCGCCGTTGCCGCCGCGTCGTTTCGATCGACCATCGGACACGAAGAAGGCCTCGTAGGTGTAGGCGACAGTCTTGCTGCCGGTGGTGGTGCTGTTGGAGGGTGGACACAGTTATGATGATTCACGACCGGACGGTGGGGCTTTTGGGACTTTACGCTGCTTTAGGAGCTCCGGGTCATAGCCTCGGGTGGTTCATTTCAATACATCAGATACATCAAGACTTGGACTTTATTATCCCCGATAGGAAAATGCCTCAAATGTTGTGCGATAATTGTATCATCCAAAAGGAGGAAATTCCACAGTGATTGCATTAAAGTAATTCGTTGTAACGCGGCAGTTTTGTGGGAATAAAATTTCTAAATGGTATTTGCCCAAAAATTGATAAATTCAATGTAGGGGATAAATCACGCACAATTATTTTGACATTTAGAAGCAAAATTGCCCAGCAACGTGCAATTGCGTCTAATAAATGTTTACAAAAGATTTAGCGTGGGACGCGTTTACAGCTGGGCCTGCTTTTATCTCGTCTCGCGTGAATGTTACTTACAAGTATGAGACGCCTCGTAGCGGCAGTTTGTCGTAACACACGACAGCAATTTAACCCATTATAGACCGCCAGCAATCTACGGGCTGTGGACTGCCAGAAATAAGAAAATTCAGGACATTAGATCAAAATATGTAAAATTATGAAAAAAATGTCCTCGCTTTTAAACTGGCAGACCAAATTTTCAAAACAGTTATCTTTTCTAGTTAGAAGTTATATACAGGATTTTTTGGGTCGCTGATTACGAATGTGCACATAGGCTGGTATTCATAGTTGATTCTTATTTCAAAATCATCTTAAGTGTTGTCTTAAGAGACTAATACGGCTCTGTGATTGGTTAAAAACACATTAAGAGTATACTACTGGCCTTAGATTCCCGAAATTCAAGATGGCGGACCCAATATGGTCGATCGGATGCCGTAAAAGTCCAGAAGACTCGTTTCCACTCAACCCACATGCATCTAAATTAATGCTTTTCAAAGCTATGAAATTTGATCAAAACATAGAACATATGGAAAAAACGAAGAGGCATTCTTCAAAATTAAAAATGGCAAATTTTACAGTTTTCGGCCATATTTGGTCCATCGTCTTGAATTTCGGGAATCTAAGTGCATATTCGTAATTAGTGACCCACCCCAAACCCCCGTACATAACTTTTCACCGAAAAAAAGCTTTTTTTTAAATTTCGGTCCACCATATTGGTCCGTCATTTTGAATGTTATAGGTGCAGGATATATTTTTTTATAATTTTACATATAATATTTGGATCTAATGTCCTGAATTTTTAGTTTCTGGTAGTCCACAGCCCGTAGATTGCTGGCGACCTATATTGGATTAATTGCGCAAACATTCTGCTAAGGTGATTCGCCAAAACGCTGCTGTTTTGCTGTTATACAATACTATTTAGAAATACATTGTGCAAATATTTATCTATACTTGATGAAAGGTCTCCCATTTGCATACGTTGTTCGAAACATGCACGTATAATTCCAGCATTCCAAGTTGCATCCAGATTCCGTCGCATAATTTTCTAAACGTCTTCCTATCGGGGAAATAATTAGGCATTGCGTGTTTAAAAAATTCTCGCGGCACAATGATCGAAAATTGCTGTAAGAGACCATTGTTTGTTATAAGAATACACAAGCGAGAGAATACTCTTAACTTGCAAATACTCTCGGAATTTCACGATTTGGAAATGTCCACTTTTCTGCTTCGGGACGGCGGAGAAAGAGGGACAGAAACTGTTCAATATTGCGAGACTCACCTATCCCTGCCGACGTTGCAGTTTCCAACGGTAACTTCCGCGGTTGCGGGCGACTGCGGCTGTGGTGGCGTTTGCTCCTGTTGGCGCAGCTGACTGGTCTGCGAGCTGGGCACCGGCACGAGCACGGAAACCGGTATGGATTGTATACCCGCTGTCGGTACCGGTTGTAGCTGTTGCTGTTGTTGCTGTTCTTGCTGCTGCTGCTGCTGCTGCTGCTGCTGTTGTTGCTGCTGTTGCTGCTGCTGTTGCGACGCGGGCACGTTCGGTGTAGCAACAACAGAAACAGCGGCGGGCGGTGGTGGTGGTGGTGGTGGCGGCGGCGGCGGTGGCGGCGGTGGCGACAGGGTGTGAATAAAAACGGAGTGCGTGGGTGCGGCGGGCGACGCGCTTAGATCCAGGATGGCCTGCGCGGCAGACAGATCCTCCTCGGCGGACGTGCGTATCTCCGAGATCGGTTGCAGGCTGTAGGGACGGTAGATGTCCTTCTTCTTCGGCGGTAGGGACAGCGCCGTGCCGGTGCTGGTGAAGGACATCGAGAGGCTCTTTCGCGGCGGTAGGCATAGCGACGCTGTGGCGGACGATGAGGACGACGAGGACGACGGTGGCGATGACGATGACGGGCTCGTGGCAACGACCGTCACCTGGTGCGACGGCGCTTGGTGTAGACCTGGCCCGACCAGCACCGACACCGGCAGTTCCTGCTGCGTGACCGGCGGCGGCGGTGGCGGCGATGGTGCTACCGGACGCGCCAGCTCCGCTGCAGAGCGCAACGTCGCGTATTTGGGCGGCTCCTCGTGATTGATCCACGCCTCGTGCGTGTAGCCTGGAAGAGGGAAAGAAATGGATCAGTTCAGAGATACGCGAACACGGCGTTTATTCGACCAGGCTACGAACTAGAGGCATCTTATTTTTCTCTTTTCATGAATATCGCCAGAATTATCATGTGTTATTTGCATTTGATCGTGACTTCCGTCTTTTGCGTCTAACTTGTGCGCTAAACTACTAAATTTGCTAGATAACAAAGTCGGAACCCACGACCTAAAATTTCTAGTCTGAAGTATTGTCGTTTATTTCTTCATCTACCATGTACGGGGTGAATCATTAAGGGCTAGTTTCACAAACGTCTAATTGATTCTCTGTCTCTTCTTAGAGAACAAGATAGAAAAAGATAGGGAGTTGGCTGAACTCTGGTTAACAGTTAACCGACGTTTGCGAAATTGGCCCTACCCACACAGCACAGAAAGATTGCAGGAAGATTGCAGAAATGTTACACTGCAAAATGGCAATATTGCAGCAACGTTGCGCAACATTGCTGCAACATTTCTGGAGGATTGCAGCAACGTTGAAATGTCCGCCCTCAGAGAGATTGCAGTGCAACATTATAGCAATGTTGCAGTGCAATATTTTTGGAATAATTTGTTGTTGTTGTACATAAGCAGAGAATTTACTAATTACATATGCATCCGGGCCTTTTTCAATACACAGCAAGCTATTGCGAAGCAACATAATCTCCTTAGGTTGATTAGGAGGTTAGGAGATTAGGTTGCTTCGCAATAGATGGAGATTGCGAGCAACATCGCACTGATCAAGTACTTAATAATTCGCGCATTATTGGTATCAACGAAAATAACATTATAAAATTCTCGTAATTAGAAAAATTTTTTTAATAGAAAATATAGTATTTTTATTATTTTTGAAACATTGCTGCAATATTGCTATCGAAAGTTTGCAATTTTATATCCCTGCAATGTCTCTGCTAGATTGCAACGTTTCTGCAATGTAACTGCAACCATCTGTGCTGTATGGGTAAGGCTGTCCTAACCTTTTACTATCGAGGGATGGATTACCGACTGAGACTGTAGCCAACCCGGAAACAATGGAAAAAATCTCGTTATGTATGTTTCAATCATATAATATTTAATTGTATCTATTAAGATACGATTAGGTATTAGATGATTGAGACATATATAGGGTGTGTCCTAATACCCGTATGTCCCGTAGATGGTAGATAGACCGGGGCAAACTGAATAGAAAAGTCCTATACCATTTTGCAAAATTCGCAATAGTTATCGAGAAATTAATTTTAATGTCTGAGCGAATGAGAGCGTAGAAGGCGGCAGGCCGGACTCGGCAGGCAACGGTGGAGCATCATCTAATAGCGAGAGGTGGAGCGGCGCACCGAAAAAAAAGTTGTCACGCAGCGAGCGGCGAGCTTTTTTGACAA